GCTGGGTGCTGGGGATATAATGATAAAAAATGTAGCCCCTGTTCTCAACCAACTTACAGATTTAGAAGGGGGTGGGCAGATAGTACACACACAAAATCACAACACAGTGTGGTAACTACAGTAATCAGAGTGTACACCTGGTACATGATAGCACAGAAGAGTGTAGCTTGTAGGAGAGATTTGAGAAGGGGGAAGAAAATAATCTGCACCTTCCTAATTTAGGACTTTTCTTTCTTTTTTTTAAAATATATTTTATTGATTTTTTACAGAGAGGAAGGGAGAGGGATAGAGAGTTAAAACATCAATGAGAGAGAAACATCAATCAGCTGCCTCCTGCACACCCCCTACTGGGGATGTGCTCGCAACCAAGGTACATGCCCTTGACCGGAATTGAACCTAGGACCCATCAGTCCGCAGGCCGACGCTCTAGCCACTGAGCCAAACTGATTAGGGCCTAATTTAGGACTTTTCATTCTCCCCTCTTGAAAGCCATATTCTTTCCTCTCTCATATCTCAAAATGTTCCTATCACAGAGGCATAGGAAAGATGGTAACTATGGAAGGAGGACTGGAGGACTAGTAACTATCATGGAAAAAACAAGCTTATGCTACGCTTTTCAAGACTTTAGCTACTTTAGATACATACATTTTTTTTTTAAGTTTTTAAACAAGACAAGAAGATGTGGAGTCCTGACTTCTTATAGGCCATTTTCCTTCCACATTACAGCACTCCTATGCCTATATTAGTGTTCCTGTTTCATCAGGAAAGGTTTACATCAAATTGAGGTTTAAGGGGAAGGCAGATTCCTTAACTGGGCTTCTCCTCTTAATATAATTTAAAAACGGCTGCAACCCAATCACATGTTGGTTAGCCCAGAAATTCTTCCTTTAGCTTGATTGTTTTTGTTTGTTAATGGATTAGTTCACAGATACAGTGTTAAGAAAATGCATGACTGAAAAGACTTGATAACACTGCTTGGCTCACTTCCATCTCAATCTCTCCCTTTTTTATTGAAGTAAAATTCACATGACACAAAATTCATAATTTTAACCATTTAAAGTGTACAATTCAGTGGCTTTTAGTACATGTGTCATCTTAATAATAAAGAGCTAATATGTTAATTAGACTGAAATCACCTTCCGGACGACCTTTCGGATGAAGTCCGGGCTGCGAGGGCCAACCAGGGCTGTGTGGGGCTGCGAGGGCCAGCCGAGGCTGTGAGGGCCGAGCCCCTTCCACGAATTTCATGTATTGGGCTTCTAGCATTGTATAATCACCAACATTGTCTAATTAGGAACATTTTCATTACCCCCAAAAGAAATCCTATCTCCATTAGGCAGTAATTCTTATTCCCTCTCCCCCTCAACCCTGCTGAGCTGCTTTGTCTCTAGGGATATGCCTGTTCTGGACATTTAACATAAGTGGAATCATGCAATATATATGTCCTGGCATCTTTCACTTTGCAAATGTTCCAAGGTTCATCTATGTTGTAGCATGTATTAGTACTTCATTCCTTTTTACTGATCCATTCATTGGATGATGGATATTTGGCCTCTTTGACTATTATAAGTAGTGCTGCTATGAACATTCAAGTGCAAGTTTTTGTTCAAACATTTGTTTTCAATGGGGGGGGCTTGTAAATACTATAAGTGGAATTGCTGGATCATATGGCAATTTTATGTTTAACTTCTTGAGGATTCATCAAACATTCTAAAGCTGCTGCATCATTTTTTTTATTCCCACCAGCAACATAGAAAGGTTCCAATTTCTCCACATGCTTGACAACATTTGTTATTTTCTTGAAAATATATATTATAGCCACCCTAGTGGAAGTAAAGTGATATCTCATTGTCAATACATTTTATGGATACTAATTCACCATAGAAACCACTTCAGAAACAAAAAAAGCATGTTCATGTCAGCTCTTAAGTTTTCTTTTATATATGAGGCTACCACTAAATTGAGAGCTTTCCCTAAGATAAGCTGCAAAGTGAACATGGGAGATTCTGAACAACAGAGCTGTTTTACCTGCTCCCATCACCCACTTCCCCTAGAGCCGTGGTCAGCAAACTGCGGCTCGCGAGCCACATGCGGCTCTTTGGCCCCTTGAGTGTGGCTCTTCCTAAGCCTTAAGTGTACCCTAATTAAGTTAATAATAATGTACCTGTCTATATAGTTTAAGTTTAAAAAATTTGGCTCTCAAAAGAAATTTCAATCGTTGTACTGTTGATATTTGGCTCTGTTGACCAATGAGTTTGCCGACCACTGCCCTAGAGCAGTGGTCCGCAAACTGTGGCTTGCAAGCCACATGCGGCTCTTTGGCCCCTTGAGTGTGGCCACGAAGTTTCAATCGCACTGTACGTGCGGGCCTGCACGTGGTATTTTGTGGAAGAACCACACTCAAGGGGCTGCAGTTTGTGGACCACTGCACTAGAGCAGTGGTTCTCAACCTTGGCTGCACATTAGAATCACCTGGGAATCTTTTTAAAATCCTGATTTCTCCCCATGGCTGCTCTAGAGCAACCATGATTAACACTCAGGGTCTAAATGATGACTATTGAAATATCAGCCCCCTGAGGAATAGCCAGGTGTCTCTAGTCAGTGATTGCCAAAGAGGCATCTAAAGCATTATAAGGGTTGGCTAGTATAAAAGCTTTTATGGGGGGAAAGCCACTTTTAAAACCTGATGAACATTCATTTTTTTCTCCATATGTGCTGTATTTTTAAAAATAACATACAACTAACCACCAATTCCATATTCCATTTTAGATAAAGTAATTTGTTTAGATAAAGCACTGAGTTAAATAGGTTGAGCCATAAGAAATATCAAATTCCTTCCTAGCACATTTCTCAATAATTCAGTGTCCATAGCACATATTCCTACGAGTCTGTCATCATTTATTTTATCATTTATTGTTATAACCAATACACTACAAAAGCTATTCTTTTCCTTGCTGGAGCACTTAGTTTTGAGAACTAAAACACATATGCAAATGATTACCCCAATAAAGCAAGAGGCAATAGGAATTGTACCCCCCCGCCCCCATTTCTGCATTCTGGTCTGTGGTACAAAGGTACAAATAGTCTCCTGAGGAGTTTCCTTCTGCTTGTTTGCCTCTCCTTAGTGAAAACTGTACGGTTGAGAGGGAAAGCTGAGACTCAGCTCAGTGGGTGCCCTCTGGCTGAGGGGAGGAGGAACAAGAAACCAAGACAAAGCTAAAGCTTGAAAGAGGCCCAGCACTAGGTTGCTGAGGGTCAGCCTTCCTGGGAACCTGCAGGATTCATATAAAGACTTAAGGGGTATTGAAAGGGAACAAGGGAACTCTACCTTGGGCTGAAACGATTGGAAAGCCAAAGGGAGCCTAAACTAGAGATGGTGGGAAGTCCCCGAAGTAGTTAGAAATCATGGTAATTGAACTACCCGCCCCCAGGATCAATTCAATTCCTAACTGAAGTAGGCGAGCTTTAGGCTTGCCTGCATCGATTTTTGTGTCTTAACGGTTTAAGCATGTACATTGAAGCCGGGCCTCACGTCCAGGGGCCCCAGAAAAGGCCGAAATCCTAGCATTTCAATGGAAAGACGCCAAGGCCATCCTTCCATTCCTGGAGCTGATGACGAAGTCTGGTCACCTGCACGGACGGCCCTTCCTTCATGGGTTTCCAGGAGCGAACATCCCAGCTCACCCAGGCCTTTGCACTCTTCTCCCTGGGCCGGCCCGCCAACTCTCCGGGGTACAAAGTACAGCAGGGATGCGGGCGGAGCCTTTCCTAGCGGCTGCCGTCTCTCTCCCAGCGGACACCTACATGGATTTCCAATGTGCGTCTGGCACATTCTGGAGGGAGCCTCAGGCTCCTTCCGCGCTCGCAGCCGCGCGGCCTCCTACCGGTCGATATTCCCTTGGTTTATTCCCTAGGAGATTCGCAATGGTTTACCCAGGGCCTGGAACACTCCCGCCCGCGAAGATCTGCCTGCGGTGATGTCACGCAGAAGCCCCAAACGCAGGGTTGTTGCCCCTACTCCCAAGGCGCCCGGCTTAGGGTCAATTTCCGTGACTCGAAGAGCATATGCGTAGGTGCCGGTGTTGGGGTCCCTCCCAAAGAAAGGAGTTGAACCGCGCGAAGCACGTCACCGCGCCACCAGACTGCACAGGCACTTTGCACGGGCATCTCCGCGGGGTCCGGAGGTGGCGCGCCCCAGGTAAGTAGGGCGGGGGGCTTCTGCTGCGGGTCTGAGGAGCTGGACAAGCGGGGCGGGAGGTGGGGCTTAGGTCCCCGGGCGATTGGACCCCAGTGGAGTAAGGGCTCCCTTAGGGCGGGGCAGCAGCTGAGCGTAACTGAGATGAACTCCAGACACCTATCTATGCCCGGGGTCCGCTTCAGTCTTTGCCTTGGATAGGGGCCGGGTGAAGCGGCAGAATCTACACCTTTGGTTCCCACCCACCCTCCAGAAAGGCGGAGAAACTCCGCAGGTCCCCGTGCGGGATGGGTAAAGGGAGCTGCAGGGCAGCCCCGGGCGTGGGGGGTGGGGGGGAGAAAAAAAACTACTCGGATTGAACCGAGCGCGGCGGGACTGGGAAAAATACAAAATGGGGAGAGGTGATAAGCCTCCTATATAGCCGTCCTTTCTCTTTCTCTCCCCCTCCCCTTCCCTTTCGTAGCTGCTGACGCGCTGGTGGTGCTTATTAATCATTCACCAGCCCAGAGCGCGCCAGTTAATGGCTGTGCGGCTCGGGGCTACAGTCTCCCGGCTTCCCCCCTCCGCGCTCGCGAGTGGCCAGGCGCCCGGAGCGGCAAGCGGCTGCGCGCCGGCAGCAGTCGGGCCATGCGTCCCGCGGGCGCGGGTCGGAGCCGAGCTCCCGGCCGCCGCTGTGCGCTACCCTCCGGCGCCAGGCGGCAGTGAGCTGCGGGCAGACGGCCGGGCTGCTGAGTGAGGGCGCCAGCGGCGGGGGCCCAGGAGAGCTCCCCAGCCCCAGCAGCCCCACCGTCCCCCACCCGCGGAGATGTTCCCCAATGGCACCGCCTCCTCTCCCTGCTCTCCCAGCCCCAGCCCGGGCAGCTGTGGCGAAGGCAGCGGCAGAAAGGGCCCTGGGGTCGGTGCCTCAGACGGTTTGGAGGAGCCCGGGCTAAATGTTCTCCAGAACGGGACTTTGACTGAAGGCCAGGGCAGCGCCATCCTCATATCCATCATCTACTCCGAGGTGTGCCTGGTGGGGCTGTGTGGGAGATCCATGGTCATCTATGTGATCCTGCGCTACGCCAAGATGAAGACGGCCACCAACATCTACATCCTCAAGCTGGTCGTAGTATATCAGCTGCTCATGCTCAGCGTGCCCTTCCTGGTCACCTCCACGCTGCTCCGCCACTGGCCCTTCGGCGCGCTGCTCTGCCGCCTCGTGCTCAGTGTGGACGCGGTCAACATGTTCACTAGCATCTACTGTCTGACCGTGCTCAGCGTGGACCGCTACGTGGCCGTGGTGCACCCCATCAAGGCAGCGCGCTACCGCCGGCCCACTGTGGCCAAGGTGGTGAATTTGGGGGTGTGGGTGCTCTCGCTGCTGGTCATCCTGCCCATCGTGGTCTTCTCACGCACGGCGGCCAACAGTGACGGCACGGTGGCCTGCAACATGCTCATGCCCGAGCCCGCCCAGCGCTGGCTGGTGGGCTTCGTGTTGTACACGTTTCTCATGGGCTTCCTGCTGCCCGTCGGGGCCATCTGCCTGTGCTACGTGCTCATCATCACCAAAATGCGCATGGTCGCCCTCAAGGCCGGCTGGCAGCAGCGCAAGCGCTCCGAGCGTAAGATCACCCTGATGGTGATGATGGTGGTGATGGTGTTTGTCATCTGCTGGATGCCTTTCTATGTGGTGCAGCTGGTCAATGTGTTCGCGGAGCAGGACGACGCCACGGTGAGCCAGCTGTCGGTCATCCTCGGCTATGCCAACAGCTGCGCCAACCCCATCCTCTACGGCTTCCTCTCGGACAACTTCAAGCGCTCTTTCCAGCGCATCCTGTGCCTCAGCTGGATGGACAACGCCACGGAGGAGCCCGTGGACTACTACGCCACCGCCCTCAAGAGCCGCGCCTACAGCGTGGAGGACTTTCAGCCCGAGAACCTGGAGTCCGGGGGCGTCTTCCGCAATGGCACCTGCACGTCCCGGATCACGACTCTCTGAGCCGGGCCCTCGCAGGGGAGGGTGAGGACCAAGGGGAGCCGGGTGTGCGAGGTGAAAGTATCCCAGGGGGCGGGGTGCGGTGTGGCAAAGTGGGGATAGGACACTGTGCGCTCCGGTCTTCGGCTGAAGAGACCTGGGGAAGGAGCCCGACAAAGGTGGAATCGGGCGTTTAGCGTGTAAACGGGGAAGGTTTGGAGCCCCTTTCTCCACTCTCCCGCCTTCCTACACGGCGTCTGTACTTCCGCACCCTCTACGCTTCCCACTCTGTAACTTCGATCTTTCCTTCCGCCCAGTCCTGCCGGTGCAGACCGTGAACTCTTTAGCGTCTCCAACTCAGGCCGCCAGCCGTGCTTTCTGTGTGTTTAAGCCTAGCCCCGGGTTTCCCGAGGGGTGAGTGCCCAGCCGGCGCTCAGCCCCGCCCCGCCGCGCCCCTGCGCTGGCCAGATTCCTCCTGGTGCCCCTAGCGGGGTCGCGACCCACCGCTCTCCCCCTTGCACGGCCCCACTTTAACGGAGACGGACTCCAGAGTGAACGAGGCAGCCGGCCCTTTCTCCTGCTCTACAGCGAGGCTGCGTCGCCCTCCGAGCCGCTCGCCACTCCCACGCCACCCGGAGCGGAGCCAGGTGCTTAGCAAAATCGGTCCCGCGCTTCGAACCCCAGGCATTGCGCTGCTCCCATCCAAACCCCCTTTGGAGCCAAAAGGAGCTGAGAACAAGGGCCGAGGTTGGGGACGGGAAGAGGGATTGTAATGGAAGCCACCTCCTCCAGCCCCGCTTACCGCCGGGCTTTAGGTTTCAAAGACCGGCGCTCCAGGGCGCTGGTCTGCCTCAGGCCACCGAGGGCAGGCGGACTTTCCCCGGGGGCCGATTGGGAGCGTGGCTGCAGCTACACTAGGTTGTATCCCTCACCCAAACGTCAGAGGTGCGGATCTAAGAGCAGCGACAGACTCAGTTTCCTGCTCTGGTTTATCTCTAAGACAGAGCCCTGGGGCCCGGACCTCTGGTGCCGCCTACAGAGCCCTGGCCTATCCCCGCTGTGTCGCCGCCACCTGCAGGCTAGAGAGTGGGCCTGTCAGGCCCCTGAGGGTTGCCCCTTTCAAGCGGTGCCTAATAAGTTATTTTCCTGTTTAACATATTTATTTATTTATTTGTGGTGTTTGAAAATTTCTCTGCTTTCCTTTTCTCTGTTTGCCAAGCCCAGGGCTTTTCCTCCAGGACACTGAGGGTGAGGGTGCAGTGTGTGTGTGTGTCTAAGGCTCCCTCAAAACCTCTCCTCTTTGCTGGGTCCTCTTTTATTATCCTTTTCCAGCCTTTCTATTTTTGCTTGTATCCAGTGAGTTTGGAGATTTTCTTAAACTTTCCTTATATAGTCTCTTGTTTGTCTTACAATAAATAAATGATTATGTGGGTTAGCCTCCTCTCATGCAGAGTGAAAAGCCCTGTACTCCTTGCTTTCAGCATCGCCTTGTATATGATTTGGATATGCATAATATATTTACATATTATGTATATTTGTTTATCTTGCTCCATTGTCACGAGTCCATAAAATAGCCCCCAAATAGAGCCGCTAACAATGACAGGTGTAAGGCTGGCTGACCCGCTTTCAGATAAGGGGGTGCAAGCAGCACTCAAACCTGGAACTCAGAAGTCTGATTCAGATAGACTTGATCCATGCTGAGGATGTCCCTGGTTATGTCCCTGCTTCCTCTAGTTTTCCGCATAGGTGAGTCCAACACACAGTCCAGTTCACATCATTATTCTTTTAAAGACATTGAAAATGGAGTAAGTTGTGTCTGTGTTTAATCTTACAAACTACATTGGAAGCCTGAGCAGGACAAGGACCAATAATTTTACTTCTTTGTATTTCCTGTATTGTTTTAGTATACTGGCTTGTACATAGTAGGCACTAAATACATGTTTGTTGGTTGAGCGCTGAAGTTAGCCAGAGTGCATTACAACGATCCATCGGGAGGTGGTAGGTCTGGGGCTCTCGGGTCTACCATTGACATGATACACAATGGTTGAGATCACTCTGGAAAAAGATGTTTCTGTATATTTGCTTCAAGAACATTGTGCTTTCCTGAAAGCAGTAACCAAGAGTTCAAATGCCCCTTATGTTTAGTTTAAACTAATTAACAAATATGCTTTTGGTTCTAAATCAGAAAGTTTCATTCTGCCCCTTAATAGTAATATATATTATTACTCTTTTGAAAAATCGATTTTTAAAATATCTTTATTGTTGAAAGTAATACATATATCCTATTTTTCCCCCCATTGACCCCTTCTAGCCTGCCTCCATCCCCCTCCCCCCCACCTCAGCCTTCACTACCCTATTGTCTGTGTCCAAGGGTTATGCATACAAGTTCTTTGGTTGCTATCTTCCCACCCACCCATCCCCATCTTCCCTCTGAGATTTGACAGTCTGTGGAAAATAGATTTTTAACTGGTTATGAACAGTGAAATTTACAAATCAAAATCTTGATCATTAACCTCTTAAGAAGATACAAATCTAGTGCTCTTAACCTGTTACCATTGTAATATTAACCAAATAAACAAATGTATTATGTTGTTTCAAATTGTCTGACTTTGCCATTTGAATTTTACTATTTCAACGGATTACCTAAACACACACACACACACACACACACACACACACACACACACACACATTGGCTGAGTTGTTTTATGTTCCACTTAGATTTTTAAGAACTAAAATTTCAGATTACCTTTGGGCATTTCTACCAAGATTAAGGTTACACCTTGAAATATATTTTTAAAGAAAAGTCTATTAATTTAGAGAGGGGAAACAAACAAACAAACCTTGAGTGATATGAATCGGAAGCACTGTACTAGGTTGCACTCTCTATGCTTTTCTGTTGTCACCAAACTACCTGATATTTCAATCTCTCAGAGATTAAATTCCTGTCTGCCCGCCCACATTTATGGTCTCACACTTTGTTGTGGGAGCTAAGTAATTGCTGATTTACATCCCAGGGAAAGATAATGTAAAGAAAAGAAAAAAAAGTTTGCCTAAAGGTGTCACGGGGCAATGGGTAAAAGAAATAGAAAAATTAGATTTCAACATAAGAGAAGAAAAACATATCTTATACTTTGCCTCTCTGCCCTCTGCTCTCTGTACACCTGGGTGATTCCTGGCTGCGGTTTGTTGAAATCCGGAGCCTGTGATCGATCACCTCTCAGTGTGGTGAGAGCTGTACCTCAGCTCCTGTGAGCTGCAGCCCTGTGTCTTCCCTGCCCCATGCAGCCTGGTGGCCTGCCCCAGCCTCTGCCAGGAGTGACCTCGCCCTGCTGCAGGCAGCCCTGTGGTGAGCCTCTTGGCTCAGTGACTAGAAGGGATCTATGGTAGCTCTAGACTGGTGACCCTCGGGATCTCCTGTCTGATATCTATTTCTGTAGCTCTGGCATAGGTCTTTTGCCTCTCTCCTTACCTTTGTCAACTTCTCTTATTAAAAGCATTCCACACACCCCACATCTCATTTGCACTAGAGGAAAGACTTAATCTTGGCCTTCGATGTGCTAAAGTAGGAAAAAAGGATTTAGTAAATTTCTCTGCAACCCCATCCCCACCGCTTCAGCTGATTTCCAAGCCTTTTTGTGTTGCTTAGCACTTGAAAACAAGCCCTCTCCTATCCTTAGGTGATGAGCCTCACCTCAGGGTGAGAGACTACAATGAAACATGATTTCCCAATTAAGTTAAAATGTATCAGTTCAGTGCCTGTGAACTATTATGTCTTACTGGTGACCTTTGTGCTCCCAGGATAGAATCTGTCAGGCCATCTTCTCACACAATACCCCCAAAAGGATTATGTTTGAAATTTTGATGGCTCATCCAATTTAACCCTGACCATTGTACAAAATGCTGAATGTATGGTTTTGGCCTGAAAAAGAAGGCAAGGAGTTCTCTTGGAGAATATTATGGATGATACATTTAAAAATGTGATATATTTCTAATTTATTTTAAACAAAAAATAGAGATGTCATAATCTGTCTTCTAAAACCACTTTGGTAATATGGTTATACTTGGCAAATTTTGCTCATTACCTGCTTTATTCCAATTACCACATCAGAGAGGTTAGGTACTCAATTGAAATGATTGGTAGATGTTTTAAATAATCATTACAGTGGTGTATGCTTTAAAAATACAGTATTACAGAGTCTATGCTGATCCCTTGTCCCACCATGCACTTTGAGCCAATAAGGACCTCTTCTACGTGTTCAGATGGTTAGCTCGCTTTTCATTCAACATATTTCAGTTCCTAAAAAGAAGACAAAGAGGTTTAACATTATTACATGGTTCCCCTAGACTAGAGGGAGGCAGGCACAGATATAATATTAGTGATTATTTACTATTTTATTCAATATCCGGACACAAGGCATTATAATGAGACCTAATGAAATGACTGTGTTAGGGATGATTAGATAGTCTGGCTTCCGATTTCAACTATAAAGGAAAGGAAGGTGTTTCTGCAATGTTAACAAAGTTGAGGCCTGTGAACAGAAATAACCAGTTCAAACTAAAATGTAAAATACCTGCTTGTCACACTGCTGGGTAGAGAGGAGCATCATCTAAAAAGGAGATATAATTTTAAATAGAAATCCTTTGGTAAAATGTCCACTTTGATAATAAACTTTTTTTTGGTCAAATCATCTATTAAATCTTATTAGCCAAAAGATGGAAGTATGTACACATTTAAGAATGGGACTGCAGGCATGATCCCAAAATTCTTTGAAACAATAATGAGCTCAAAACTTTAAAAATAAATATCTCTTTATGCCAGATTGATTCCAGCCTTCAATTTTGAGTGGACAAGATGCATAAAAAGAAATGAGATGTGGAGAATGCTATCAACTAACGCCTTTCTCTGCAGTGGAGTTCACCTCCATGTCCTCTTCATGTCGACATGCCCAGTCCAGTTACAGATAAAGACTTCAGGTACTCCAGCTCCCTCCACTCCCCCCTTTTTCCTCCTCCCATTATTT